GGGTGCTCGCCTCCCTCGGGCTCCCACTCGTGTTAGCGGTGCACGGCGAGGAACAGCCGCGCAGCACGAGCACGGGGTGCTGCTTCCCCGGGGGTGCCCTCCTGTTCCACGTACTGCGTTTTAACTTGGCCTCAGTGCAGAGGAGGGCACGACGGCCTGCTCCAGCACGGCCAGCAGCACAGGCGTCCTCTCCTCCAGGAGACCCCACGTGCCTCTTTCTTTGCTGCATCCACAGTTTCTTAGAGCTGCTGAAAGTGCACGGAGGAGCAGCAAGGTCCCCACCGAAAATGCTGACTCAAAGAGGGCTTTGTAGCAGCTCTTCTAGGCACTGGTGAACCAAACCCTGGCTGAAAAGTGTTAAGACCAAGGCTGGCTCTTACCCCTGTGAAATGCTGCTCTCCCAGATCATGTCTGGCTTGCTCCAGGTGTGTTTCCACCTGTTCTGCTATTACTGAGGGTCCAAAACACAGGAATACTGGTACCTACTGCATTTATTGTTGTGCTACAAGCAAAGCAGCACTGACAAGTACAGCAGAGAAGGACAAGGGACAAGTGGAAGTTGCAGCAATGACACTGGGCATACAGGAGTTCCGTCAACATCATGGAGAAAGCATGCTCCTCAAGAGGAAATAGGCTGGGCACTGGGCATTCAGCAGCAGCACCACTGTTCTCTGTTGTGCACACAGGGGCTATGAACTTCAGTCTCCTAGTGCTCTTCTGTAGCCCTTTACAAGTTGGGTTTTTCCATCTGCTGTGGCAGCAGCTCAGTTACAGGTCTACAAGTACCTAGGAAGTTCGTCTGTAGCTCTGCCTCTCCAGGGCAGTCCATAAGTCTCCCTGCAGCGGGGTTCAAGCTCAGTCATCCTACCTTTTATTCTGCTTCACACTTCATCAGCCAGGTGGAAACTCTTTCTGCAATGCTCCCTTGCATTTTGCATCAGCCAGTACTTCAGCCTGCTGACTTCCAGCTTGGCCTGTCTGCACAGCGTATTCACAGCTTCTTAGCGGTGAAATGGTGCAACATGTGGCACCCACTCGCCTCCCATGGAATCTTGTATGCAGTGGCAGAGCCACTAGAAAGCCTAAAGTGTTGGGATATTTAGGCTTTCCTCGTCCACTCCACTTCACTTTAAATCTCTGAAAACTGGTAGCACAGGGCCCTAGAATAACTTTAGTGTTGTTGCTCAGGAACCATGGGTGACAAGGAGAAACAGGCTGATAAGCTTCCCAGTCCCATACCCAGACAAACCAGCCTCAAGGACAGGTTTGCAGCACACCTTGAGCACACTCACTGCAGGCAGCAAGGACCCAGTGTCCACTGCCAGAAGCAAGATATAGCCAGTCCAAACAGCTGGGATTAGCCAGAGCTCTTTGTCAGAGCAGCAGTTTATTACACAGAGAAGGAAGAGGAGTAGCCATCTGTCATGCCTACAGGGGTCATACCCTGCTACCAGCCGAAAGCCTAACACTGTAACTGCTTTAACATTACTAGCACCTTTGGCAGCCTCTGCATCAATACAGAAATGCTTTTCCTGCAGCACCTGCATGTCCACGATTCCTCAGGAGACAATAAGCCCATCTTAAACGTCCTCTGTCTACCAGCACTCCTCCAGTATACCCCAAGGTAGAGTACAGTATGACACCCAAATCCATTCCATCCCCTCTAGCCTGTTGCTCCCACTGCAGCCCTGTAAAAGTGGTAGGGGCAGCTTGCATGCTGTATGCAGTTTTCTGGTTCGGGACAGGACTTGGGCTCTGGGAGAAAAGTGAGAGGCAAGGAAGCCACACAGGGACAGTGGCTATAAAGAAATCACAGAAAGCAGTAGACACAGTCTTCTCTTTGTCTGCTATTCTGGGGCTGGCTCCCAAGACTGCACCTGAAAGCACAGGAAGGTTAACCATCCTTCTAGATGATGGGCTGTAATCCACCTTCTGTCTGATCAGAGTGTTGGTCCCTTCTGCCCTTTGAGTCTACAACCCTCATTCATCCCTCTCCCCGACGGGCCAAGGGAAGAGGTGCTGCATCACCCTCGACACAGCACAGTGCCTGCTCACACCTGGCCTGGTGCTCGGGGCTGTGCCAGCCAGCAGGAAGGGTCGAGCAGGGCCACCCGCTCTGCTTGCTGCTACTACAACCCTGGTCAGATTCCTTCCCTCACAAATACTGGAGTTTATGGGGCAGAAGGGACCGTTGCTCCTAGACCCCATACTTTCCTGCTGTTTCTTGATCATAAATTTGAGTCAGACTTGGGAAATTCTTCAGACCAGAACAGCAAGGCTCTTTCTCCTCTGCAGAAGCATAGACATCTGGACATGTTTCACCAAGCAAGTCCTTGTTGGACAGGCATCAGACTTTCTCAAGTCTTCCCTGAACCTCTTTTGTGTCAAGCAAGGACTGACTTTCCTCCTGGGTCTCATGCAGGACAAGCTAGGTGAGATGGGACAAGTTCTGAGCCACAAGCCAGACCAGATGACTCAGTGTTTCCCTTTAGTCTTGTATTCTAAAGAACTAGAAATGCAACTGCATGAAGCAGCCCCAAACTTTTTTCTAGGTGTTTTCCCCTTCTAGCCATTAGCAGTGCAACACCTTCAGAGAAACAGGACGAAAAAAGAAACAGTCTAGAAAACAGCAGAGAGACATAACTGTGCCAACATAAGGTGACACTGAGGCGTGCTGTGATGGATTTTGCTGTCCCAGGGGCTCTGCTGTGAGAAAGGCCATCTGGAAGGGACAACCAGTCCATACAGCTGGATTGCACAAGCCGAAGCAGAGCAGCCTGTCAACAGGCATAAACACTGCAGTCCAAGAAGGAGGTACAACATGATGCAAGGAAAGGTGCTGAGAAGGCGGCTTTCTCTGGAGGAGGTTGTCCTTGACTTCAGCTCTGCTCCCAGCTTCCCCAGAAGCAGTGCAAAAGAGCAAGGAGAGCATCAGGCTGCACAGTGACACTGAAACATATCCATGGGTGTGTGAGAGCAGATTCTGCCCATGAAGAGCATGAAGAGGTGTCATAGACAGAGGGAAAAGGGAGTACTCACTACCTCTCCACCTGCCCAGCGACCCAAGCAAGGCTAGCAGCAAAAGGACAGTGAGAGAAGTACACAGTTCCCCAAACCAGACAGAGCAGAGAGAAGGAGCGGCCACCAGAGAAATGGAGTGTGGTCCAGAGGTTCACGCAATCTGTCTCTCTAAGTCAAGGCAGATGGGAGATGGGGCAGAGGCACTTTGGTGCCTTCTGAGAGGTGCTTTAGGGCCCAGTGTCAAATGTAGTACACAGCACTGCATTTGTGTGGCAGCATCTGCTCTAGCTAATAAAGACAGTGACAAGACACAGCCTCTGACAGCAGATGCAAGATGGAGCAAGAGGGATCCAGGCCTGGTTCAAACATTTGAAACCTCTTTTAAAAAGCCTATATTGAAACTATTTCTACATGGGACACCATAAACACCGCCTGAGTCCTAGAAGTATCCAAGGCTTTTTGGACAAATGATGTCCTTGATGAAGCTCCGATGACAGTATTGCCCCTGCCCAACAGACAACAGCAATGCCAGGGACAGTTTGCACCAACCTCATGCTACAGGCTAAAGTCCCTCTTCTACAGTGCTGCACTGCCCCTGCTGCAAGCCAAGAGCCAAGTATGGGGGACACCAACATTCAGAGTGAGCATTTTTCCTTAGACAAAAAAGAAAAGAGAATGGAGGAGGCTGATGTTTAGCACAGCCAGACTACGGCAGTCTGGTCAGTTCTTCTTGCTGTTGGGGCTCTTATTTGTGAACAGACTGACTTTGCTGGCAGATGCCACGGACAGAGAAGGAGACTCCATCTTCACCTTGTCCAACAAAGTCTTCTTTATGGCTGCTGGGGAGATCTTCTCTTGGTCTGCCAAATGCTGCAGCTCCCTGCAATGGGGTGGTAGGAGAGAAAAGACATAGCAAAAGGAAGAGACGGGGAGTGTGGGGGGCATTTTTTGCAGGCTCTTTAGGACTTCCTAGATGCCCACCTTGTCCGGATGCAGGAAGCCTCCACAGCATTGATTAGGAGTGAGCGAAAGCCACCGCTCTCCAGGAAATGCAGGGCATGGATGGTGGCTCCTCCGGGTGAGCAGACGTTGTCCTTCAGCTGACCAGGATGCTGCTCAGATTCTAACAGCATTTTGGCAGCACCCTATAAGAAGGAAAAGAGCTGCCAGAGTTCTGACTGAGGAACCGACTGTCAAATACTCCTGTTCTCCACTGCACAGAGCAGCACCTAGCACTCACAGTGGGCAAAACTGGGCTCCTGCCTGAGAGCCATTAGCAGGCTGCCAAAACACTTTTCAGAGCTGAAAAAGCCTGCAGAGGAGTCACGGTTCCCCAGGCCCCAGCTCCCACACCACCGTCAGCGCCAGCAGATTGCTGCAGACACTTCCTACATCCCCTCACCGGCAACCTGTGTGCAGTCAAACCAAACACATTTTTAAAGTAGATTCAGTAAGAGGACTTAAAAATTTCAAACCATGATGTGCAGAATACTCTGCACAGAGCAGGCACAGGCTCAAATGTATTCTGGACGAGGAAATACTGACCAGCAAAGCCTGTGCTCCAAGTCGAACTGCCAGCCTGCGGGGAAGTCCCATTTTCACTCCCCCATCTGCCAGAGCATCCAGGGCGGTGAATGCCTGAGACCAGAAAAAGGAAGAAGGTGACTGAAAGTCTCCATTCCAAGACTTGGGGAGGAGAGAATCCAGGGCTCCAGGATCACACTGCGACTTCTATCGCTTACAGACTTTGCAAAAGCCTCCCCCTTTACTGCTTGGGTGCCATGCCAGGCTTCCCTCCCACTAGTTCCAGCTCAGGAGTGGGGGGAATGGGAGAAATCCAACTTCTGGGTCATACTAAGTACAAGAACATGTTTTGCAACATGGACACGTGGACACTGCACACTATGGACTTCAGACTCATCCGACTGGTAATGTAATTTTGTTGTTGACCCAAACTGGTTATAAACCGGATACCTGGATTACATGTCCCATCACGAACATGAGTGATGACCAATCCAAGAAATGAAAAACTGAAGTTGTACAGACTTTCACCGCATGCAAAGCCTACTGGTCTCCCCAAGACTGGCACAAGTTGAGGAAATAGCACATACATACGCAGGGCCACTGCCACTGAGCCCCGTTACAGCATCTATCAGGTCCTCTTCCACCTCGGTGCAGAAGCCTACACTGGCCATCAGTTGTTCCAAGAGCTTCCCATCTTCCACATCCGCATGAGTCCCAGTGGCATAGACTGTAGCACCCTCCCGGACAATCACAGGGGTGTTGGTCATGCACCTGATCACTTTTGGTGTGGGGCAGAAGGTAGAGAGTTTCTTAAGGCAGAAAATTATTTGAGAAAGAAGGAAGAGAGAAAAATGAGCTTTAGTGCATATTTGGCATACCAAATAGGCTGCCTAGAAAGGGACTCCCCAGGGGCAAGAACAACACAAGCAGAGGGAAAAGAGAGAGACCCCTGTATTCCAGACTCCCTGCTTTGAGCCAAAGCAGCCAAAACTTAAATGTGAAGTCTTTAGTAGTACCAGCAAATAGGAAGCTGGGCAGAGCTGCTGTTGGGAACAATATCCTGAATGCCTCATTCCCACATCAACTCCCAAGTCTCCAAAAGAGCTCCTGCAGACACTTAGCACAAAGTCTGCAGAAATTCTGGGGAGATGATCCACCACTGTTGAGAGAAAAAAAATCTGACAGCACCTCATGTAATGAAAGAGCTGGCTTAAAGACTCTTAAAGCTTTTTCTGATGAGCACAGGCATAGGTGGCCCAGAGCAAGCAGTTGGCTGCAGCACAGATTTAGTCCAAGGGAGCACAAGTAATGCCTGTCCTTCGCGTCAACTCCTAGGGGCCAGAGGAGCAGGACTGGCTCAAGGTGAGCTCCCGCTCTGTCCTGCCCTGCAGCAGATGCCTCCCAGGCACCGGGCATCCGCTTGTGGCATGGCTCTGCAAGGCTGCAGGCTCCGGCCCAGCCCCCCAGCCCACGCTGCCCCTCACCTTCTCGATGGAGTTAATGGTGACGCCGGCCGCGCAGGAGACCACTATGTGTCGGGCCTCGATGTCGGGGCCCACTTCCTCCAGGATGAAGGGGATGATGGGGGGCTTCACGGCCAGGAAGAGGACATCGCTGCTCTTCACCGTATCCTTGTTGCTCACCGTGAAGTTCACACCCATTTTCTGCAGCAGTTGGGCAAAAACGGGACCGCTGTCGCCCAG